GTATTGTTAAAACTCTGCAGGTCAAAGGTGAATACACTAAATGACCTGTCAATCTATATAAAACAACCCATGAATGCTCCTATATGTGTCCAATGGTTAGTTAAAAGTCAGGAACAAGAAAATGAGGACATCCAAAAAACTATAAGTCTAAAATAGATTAAAATATTCTTTATTACCACCTTAAAATATATGTCTTATAAAGTAAAAAAGAGCATAAGGACATTATTTTTTCAATTATTTTTCTGACAAAAGGTATACAAACATGTTCTCTCCTTTCAAACTAACAATTCCATATTTAAAGAAAATGTGCATGACTCTATATTTGGTAACATAAGTTTATAAACTTGACTAAAGACACCAATAAATTGTTGACCTTTAAGATTGTACAGCTCAATAGTAATGAAATATCTCAGAAATAAAAAAAAATGTAGACTTTGGTTACCGTTAAAATATTGTTTAAAAGATTTTTTTCACTGCAGTGTCTAAGCAAAGCCAACACTTCCCAATTGACTTATACTATATACCTTAACTACACATATATTACATCAAATCTTAAGAGAATAACTTGCTAGCACACATCAATTATGACAAGACAAGCATTCCTCAATTGTAATAGCAGGTTAATAAAAATGCTTTAAACCTATGATATGAGTAAATTCTATTACAGTAATCTATTTTTACTGGCGAGTATATGGCTATTTTTCAGCTTTTATGTGGAAAAACAAATATAATCCCCCTTGCCCTTTTAAAAGGTATATAAGGACTTATTAGAAAAGATTTTTGAGCTGAAGAGATAGACTGGCTTTAATCTAAATTCGGGGAAAAAATCAATCCCTTTAAAAAAACAAATCTAATTTTGAAAATTAAAAACCTATTTTTTATCAAAAATTTTTAGTACTTTTGGGAAAAAAGTACGTTGTTTAAACATCAAACAAAAGGGCTGATCAGTTTACAAACAATAAGATCTAAAAAGGTTTTCGCCTTCCTGCCCTTTTTAATTTTTCTTTATTTTTTCCCTTTATTTTCAGCTTTAAAAAATTTTTAATCCCCCATTTTTATTATCATTTGAAAAAATAATATCACCCTGTTTGAAACTAAGTGAAATATAAGATTTTAATTCCAATTTTATACATTCAAATGTCCATGTATAGCAAAGAAAAATGGATACATATAAAAAATATAACAATGTAATTGTTAACATATAAATTAGCACCTAGCAGTAATCGAAGTATGACAGTAATTTAGTGTAAAGTCACCTCAGTAATGCATTAATTGATGTCAAACAAGTATATTTACAGTAATCACTCCAACACCATCTTTTAATATACACAAAACAAGAACTGTCGGAGGACAGTAACGCTCGACTATTCAAAAATTTGTCACAAGGGTGTTTCATTGAGTATAATAATGCTTACCTATATGAATACATAAAATTGTACAAAAAGGTATAAACCCCTCAAGTTTCAATACAATCACAGAGAACAAGTGTGTGAAGTTTCAATCCATTCCCTTCAGTAGTTATGGAGATACCAGCTTACACACAAAAACTTAACCATGAATTTATGAATCCAAAAAGGGGAATAATTATGCAAAAAAGTAAATCAGAGTTATGGGACTTGTGCCAATCATCTTAAATAATCACAGGACCAAGTGTGTGAAGTTTCAATCCATTCCCTTCAGTAGTTATGGAGATACCAGCTTACACGCAAAAACTTAACCAAGAATTTCTAAGATAAAAAGGGGCATAATTATGCAAAAAAGCAAATCAGGGTTATGGGACTTGTGTCAATCATCTTAGATAATCACAGAGACCAAGTGTGTCAAGTTTCAATCCATTCCCTTCAGTTGTTATGGAGATACCAGCTTACAAGCAAAAACTTAACCAAAAATTTCTTAGTCGAACAAGGGGCATAATTATGTAAAAAAGCAAATAAGAGTAATGGGACTTGTGCCAATCATCTTAGATAATCACGGAGAACAAGTGTGTGAAGTTTCAATCCATTCCCTTCAGTAGTTATGGAGATACCAGCTTACATACAAAAACTTAACCAAGAATTTCTAAGTCGAAAAAGGGGCATTTTATGTAAAAAAAGCAAATCAGAGTTATGGGACTTGTGCCAATCATCTTAGATAATCACAGAGAACAAGTGTGTGAAGTTTCAATCCATTCCCTTTAGTAGTTATGGAGATACCAGCTTACACGCAAAAACTTAACCAAGAATTTCTAAGTCGAAAAAGGGGCATAATTATGTAAAAAAGGAAATCAGAGTTATGGGACTTGTGCCAATCATCTAAGATAATCACAGAGAACAAGTGTGTGAAGTTTCAATCCATTCCCTTCAGTAGTTATGGAGATACCAGCTTACATACAAAAACTTAACCACGAATTTCTAAGTCGAAAAAGGGGCATAATTATGTAAAAAAGCAAATCAGAGTTATGGGACTTGTGCCAATCATCTAAGATAATCACAGAGAACAAGTGTGTGAAGTTTCAATCCATTCCCTTCAGTAGTTATGGAGATACCAGCTTACACGCAAAAACTTAACCAAGAATTTCTAAGTCGAAAAAGGGGCATAATTATGTAAAAAAGCAAATCAGAGTTATGGGACTTGTGCCAATCATCTTAGATAATCACAGAGAACAAGTGTGTGAAGTTTCAATCCATTCCCTTAAGTAGTTATGGAGATACCAGCTTACATACAAAAACTTAACCACAGGGACGCCGACGCCGACGCCGACAAATGAGTGACTGCATTAGCTCGATTATTCTACGAATAGTCGAGCTAAAAACTGCTTAAAATTTCTTGTATTTTCAGATATAATTCCAAACAAGAGGGCCATGATGGCACTGAAGTCGCTCACCTGTATATAGGCCCCCGGAGCGGGGCCAGTTTAAACCCCAGGGCTTTTATTTGAACAAACTTGGTAGACACCCATTAGAAGATATTTCATGCTTAACATCTAAGGTCCAGCTGGTCAAGTTTTTTTCTTTACACATATAGTTAAAAACAATGACACACCTGGGGCAGGGCCAGTTTTGACCCAAGGGCTTTTATTTGAACAATCTTGGTAGACACTTACTAGAAAATGTTTCATGCTTAATATCTAAACTCTAGCTATTCGGGTTTTTTCAAAGAAGACTTTTAAGTTTTTGCTATACACATATAAGGAAAATCAATGTCAGCCCGGGCGGGGCCAATTTTGACCCCAGGGCTTTTATTTGAACAAACTTGGTAGACATTCATTAGAACATGTTTCATGCCAAATATCTAAGCTCTAGCTCTTTGGGTTTTTTAGTAGAAGATTTTTTAAGTTTTTACTAATATGCATATAGGGAAAATCAATGACCCCCTGGGGCGGGGCCAATTTTGACCCCAGGGCTTTTATTTGAACAAACTTGGTAGACATCCATTAGAACATGTTTCATGCCAAATATCTAAGCTCTAGCTCTTTGGGTTTTTTAGAAGAAGATTTTTTAAGTTTTTACTATATGCATATAGGGAAAATCAATGACCCCCTGGGGCGGGGCCAATTTTGACCCCAGGCCTTTTATTTGAACAATCTTGGTAGACACTCATTAGAATATGTTCTATGCTTAATATCTAAGCTCTAGCTCTTTGGGTTCTTTAAAAGAAGATTTTTTAAAGTTTTTACTATATGCATATAGGGAAAATCAATGACCCCTTGGGGCGGGGCCAATTTTGACCCCAGGGCTTTTATTTGAACAAACTTGGTAGACATAGATTAGAAGATGTTTCATGCTAAATATCTTAGCTCTAGCTTTTTGGGTTCTTTAAAAGAAATTTTTTTAAGTTTTTACTATATGCATATAGGGAAAATCAATGACCCCCAGGGGCGGGGCCAATTTTGACCCCAGGGCTTTTATTTGAACAAACTTGGTAGACATCCATTAGAACATGTTTCATGCCAATTATCTAAGCTCTAGCTCTTTGGGTTTTTTAGAAGAAGATTTTTTAAGTTTTTACTAATATGCATATAGGGAAAATCAAAGACCCCCTGGGGCGGGGCCAATTTTACCCCAGGGCTTTTATTTGAACAATCTTGGTAGACACTCATTAGAAGATGTTTCATGCTTAATATCTTAGCTCTAGCTCTTTGGGTTCTTTAAAAGAAGATTTTTTTAAGTTTTTACTATATGCATATAGGGAAAATCAATGACCCCCTGAGGCGGGGCCAATTTTGACCCCAGGGATTTTATTTGAACAATCTTGGTAGACACTCACTAGAAGATGTTTCATGCCAAATATCTAAGCTCTAGCTCTTTGGGTTTTTTAGAAGAAGATGTTTAAAGTTTTTTCTTTTGGTTGCCATGGCAACCAGAGTTCTGCATGGAATGGAATTCTTTGAACAACTTTGTTAAGGCTTCACACAAGGAACATCCCTGTGAAGTTTCATTATGATCTGCCTTATGGTTTCAGAGGAGATGTTGTTTGAAAAGTGTGAACGGACAACGTACGACGGACGACGTAAGACAGACTCACCCTGAGCATATGTTCAGGTGAGCTAAAAACAATAACATTTCACTGCCCATTCTAAACCAAGGTGCAATCATTTACATAAAAATGAACCCTAAAAATCAGCATCCAATTGTTTTTAACTTGTCGGAACACATTATAACTTATTGACAAAATTAAAATCACAAACTGTCAAAGACCACCTGCCATAAACCTTTAAAGACCATCAAATGTCCTTTTATTTATCATGCATTGACAACAAAAATCTCAATTTTATATGAGCCGTGCCAAGACAAAACCAACGTAATGCGTTTGCGACCAGCATGGATCCAGACCAGCCTGCGCATTCGCTGTTTGCTATCAGTTTCTCTACTTGTAATAGTGTTTATTAGCGAACAGCATAGATCTTGATCAGACTGCCCGGATGCGCAGGCTGGTCTGGATCCATGCTGGTCGCAAAGGCACTATGTTGGTTTTGTCATGACGCGGATTAATTTTTACTACACTGTTCATTGTTGTCATGATTGTTGTTGTTTTCTTATTTTCACAAGTTCTGCCAGATACTTGAATCTACTGATACAATTATCCTGAAAATAAAAATAAATATAATAATTGACACAACATACAAACTGGCCTTCATCTATAGGGGTGTCACATTTATCTGTTTAAACGAGTTCGGTCAGTTTTTAGCTAAAAACCAGTTAGAAAATTTAATAACTGTTAACCGAGGTTAGTATTAGACAAAGAACCAGGAAAGTTTTTAATTGATTCTAAACATTACTTTCATATTTATAACAGGATATGACTTTTTGTTTGTATTTTAATTGTACTCAACTATGTATTTTTTCAATTACATACTGATTTCGAACGGTATGGCCCTAACGAAAAAAATTAACCCATAATCAGATATGTATTGAAATGAATTTGAGTACTATAAAATACGAACAAAATGCCTTATCTTGTCTCAATTAAAGTTAATGTTGTAAATCTAAGAATTTTATTCGAACGCAAACGTTAACAAAGTTATGAGGTCTCAGATGCAACGGTTATACTTTCTGCTGACTATGACACCCCTATTTATCTAAATTATTATTCATAATGCAGGGAAATCTTAAGCTGATATTTTTTAGGAAGTCAGAAACTTTAAGCCACTAAATAAACATTTCCTGCTTTTAAAGGCCAATTTCATTATTTCTCAAAAGCAAATTATTTTTGGTATTCTGATAAAGTTTCTAAAATAGAACTGACTAGCCATATTTTTTTTTGCTTTTGGCCTTAAGTAATGTTACAATAATATTCACAACACCACTGTATTTTTTTCTTTATATTTTACTTCTTTTATGGTTACACATTTCACATTTAACAAAATAAGCATCTAACATGCTAGCAAGATGAGTATACCCATCTTGTTTGAAATGAAAGGGTTAACAAACATTTACATTTTTTTTTAAACTAGCAATTACTTCTCTATTTACAAAACATGTTTTGTTTTAAAATTTGCAAAATACATGTTGTTAAAAAGCTTTATTGCTATAATTACTGTGTATTTGGAACATGAATTTTTTTGTTTAAGAAATATGATAAGTAACTGTAGGAAAAGTTAATATGCTTATTTTCTTTTTTTTTATTTCATGTACAGAAAACCTATGAAAGACAATTTTACAGTTTCTAATTTGCTACACTAAGCAAAAATGTGAAAAAATACATCAGACATATCTATTATATATTATTCATTTCAAATCCCAAAGACATATAAACCCTTCTTACATAACTGATTGGTTGAGTTTAAGGTCACATTGATACTGTAAATGTCATGTTGGGTAAAAAGTCACAAATGTCATATGTCCGCTTTCCTGCCTTAGTGGCGACAGACAAGTAGTTACCCATCTAGTAAGCAGATATACCATAATGTATTTGGAACAGGTATACAAATCTTGTGGTAAAGGAAGTTAGTTATTGCCATGAACTTTAAAATAGAGAATCTATCAGTAAAGTGCCTGGCCTGGGTTAAATTTTTACCTTATTTTTCCCAGGTATATGCTCAGCAATCTTCTCCCATCGCTGCTCAGTAGTTTTGGGGTACTGTTTTAAAGCCCATTCTAGAATCACTTGCTGGTTCTGAGACCAGGCCTCTGCATCGGATCCTTTTTCATCTGGAGTTTCCTCAGATTTCTTATTGTTTTTACTCTTCTCCTCTTTAACAGTTTTATCGTTAGCAGCAGCAGCACCATTTGTCATTTTAGACTTGTTTTCAGATGCTTTAATTTGTATAACTAATTTCTGACTAGAAACTTTGGAACCAGTCTCTACACTGGTACTATTTATAGAAACAGTATTGCCTACAGAATCACTTTGAGGTTTATTTTTATTTCTTTTCCTCACAGTGACATCATTATCACCCTTTGGAGGTCCAGTTTTCTCAGTACCTAGAGTAGAGATGATTTCATCACTAATTTCTATTTGCTTCTTTGAGTTTTTGGTTCCAGCTGTAAAAACAAATTGTAACAAATATTTACTTCAGTACATGTCATCAAAATTCCTCTAACAGATAATTGTATGCTTTTCTCAAATGACATTTTATCATTCTCTAAAAATTGTGATAACATCATTATAATTACTATTTTTTTTATTAATGACTTTTGTTTTAAAACAATAAAACATTATAAAAATACACTAAAAAGGAGAATTTTGTCAGACTTAGTCTTACGTTCTTATCCTTTTCTTGAATATAAAAATTGTAAATGTATATATTTATAAGTACATGTAGATATTCAGGAAATAAATAAATTTAAACTAACAATGAACTAAAGATGTTCTGTTTTTATTTACATCACAAATTTTACAAAAATATCATGACATTATCAACCTTATGTAAAGTCATTATAAAGTGACTTCATTTTAACAAGAACTGTCCCCCAGATAAAATGCTCCACATATCTCTTTATAAAATTATATAATAAAGTAAGAAAGGGGGGAATACTTCTGCAAAAGTATTTGTTAAGACTTATAAAATGTACCTGCCCTTGATATAAGTTTAATATAAATATCTTAAACAACTGTTAGACTATATTGAAGCTCCTTACCTTGAACAGAAGAGCTGAGATTCATCTGAAAATTTCCCTTCATCTGTTTACACTTGTTTGTAACCTTGAAAAAGAAAACAAAAATTATGTCAAAAAGGTTGTCTCCACCATTTAAACAAGTGACTTAAATAAATCAAATGTAACTAGAATTTGGTATCAACTAGGAGTGAAACAATTCTCTGTTTATCATGACTTGTGTATCAATTTGATCTGTTGCCTTTCCTGATATTAAACAAACATATTCTCAGCAAGCATTTCTTTTAAAGGTTTTAATATCCAATCAACTTGCCAGTAATGTAAACAGTAAAAAGTGTTGTTTAAATATGGAAGACAAACCACAATTGTTAACACTCTTGGGTCATTAAAGTTGGGTGTCTCTCAGTGTAGATAAATATTATTTTTTAAGTATAACCTACAAAACAAGAGCGATCAGTAATCACATGTGTCGCCTCATGATGGCCAATTTCATGTTGGGACAAATTTTGTGACAGACGGACAGACAGACGGACAGTGCACAACTAGACTAACCACTTTGTACTGATCATTCCTGTAAAGTTTGGATAAAATTGCACCAGTAGTTTATGAGGAGTAGTCCGGACAAGCTTTTGCGTATCTGGCAACACACAGAAAAAAAACACCTTTTTATCAAAGGGCCATAACTCGGCCAAAAATCATTCAACCGGAAAACCCGTGCAATATGCGCAAGGACTTGAGCTACAGATCAATCCTGTAAAGTTTCATTGAAATTGCATAAGTGGTATAAGAGAAGTAGTCTGGACAAACTTTAAAAATAAAAATTTTTAAAGGGCCATAACTCAAACAAAAATCATTGAACCGGAAAATGCTGACAATATGCACAACTAGACTTGGTACTGATCATTCCTGTAAAGTTTGGATGAAATTGCACCAGTAGTTTATGAGGAGTAGTCCGGACAAGCTTTTGTGTATCTGGCAACACACAGAAAAAGAAACCTTTTTATCAAAGGGCCATAACTCGGCCAAAAATCATTCAAACGGAAAACCCGTGCAATATGCGCAAGGACTTGAGCTACAGATCAATCCTGTAAAGTTTCATTGAAATTGCATTAGTGGTATAAGAGAAGTAGTCCGGACAAACTTTAAAATTAAAAATTATTAAAGGGCCATAACTCTGACAAAAATCATTGAACCGGAAAATCCTGACAATATGCACAACTAGACTTGGTACTGATCATTCCTGTAAAGTTTGGATGAAATTGCACCAGTAGTTTATGAGGAGTAGTCCGGACAAGTTTTGTGACGGACGGACGGACAGACGGACAGACAGACAGACAGACGGACGGACAGACAGACGACGGAGAAGTGATCCCTATATGTCGCCACTACTCCGTAGAGGCGACACAAATAATGTTAGCATAGCCTAAGTAATAGAACAAAATTAATTGAATCAAAAACCATAATCTGGAATTGAATCGAAGGAATGTTGAATCTTTGCACCCCAAACAACTAATAACCCATGTCATAACTATATGGTAGACTGTCAAAATGTAGATAGATACAATACACTATTAAATATTCCATAAAAACAATTATACCAAGTCTTCATCAAACACAAATGTACCTGTCCTAAATATTCTAATACATGTACATGCATTACATAAAAACATTAGAGTGAAATTTCCCAAACTTAGAGATTTCACTGTAATTCCATGACATTTGGGAGTCAAGGTCATATTTGAATAGATCAAAACAAAACTCTTGCTTGGAGTAATGTTGGTTTTATGCTGTTTTTAGACATGAAGGCTTTAAGCTAATAAATAATAAATTTTAAATGTTCTGTCTAATGATAAAGTTACTACATGTTTAAACTTGCAGCAAAACAGATAGACCATGCATGTTATGCTCCTGATCTATCATTTGATAGGGGCTGGGGAAACTGACAAGAATCCATGTAAAGGTAAAGAAGGAAAGAGTCTCAAGACTTAGTAAATCATCTGTTTTTGAGGGTAATTCTGGAATATGGCCTGTTTGAATTACAGAGTATTCACTATATAAGTATCATTAATCTTACCTCCCCAACTGGTCTACCGACCATCTCAGCAATTTTCTCCCATCGTTTGGCAGTTCCCCCAGGGAATTTGATATAAGCTTTAGATAACATAACATAATCCTCATCTGTCCATGCTCCATCCTAAAACATTCATGTTCAAATTATTGTTATTTTATATCTAAAATTATAGCAATTCCAAAATGAAATTTAAAAAAAATTAAGTTTCTTTGTTTGATTGTAAAAACTCATTTTTGTGTTCAGAATAGCTACCAGTACATGCCATGATCAGACAGTAAGAATATGTTGGCTTATTTTGGTTGCTTTGGTTGCATGGGGTAGAAAATGCTGCTGTAAGAGTTAATATTGTCTATTTAGTCAGACACAGAAAAAATATATTTATTTACGTTACGTTAAGGTTATTTTTAATGATTTAACATATCAAACTTATGTTTAAGATAATACAGGATGTAAAAATATCAATAAGCCAGTTTTAACAGCAATATTTTACATACTGGTAGATTAGGAACTACATAGTATAAATAATGAGTAACGGCGTGTTATCACTATCGAAGCTTTTAACACACTGATAGAACAACACATTGTATCGTATGTAAATTTGAATTTATCTCCCACCCACACACCCATTATTACAGCTTTGTTTGCTTAAACAAAAATATTTTAGCATGTCAACTTTAAAATAATATAGTGTAATACATTTTGTTGCTAAAGATTTCCACAGAATTTTGCTGTGTCACATATTTTGGGAAACATTTTTACAGTGTTTGTTTGCTTGTTTGTTTGTTTCATTTTACGCCTTTTTCCAACAGTATTTCAGTCATATAGGCGGGTAGTTTCCTACCCATCGTTCCTGGAGAGTTACACTTGTACAAGACTACCTTCCTCCGCGCTAAACTACCAAAGTACAGTGTTTGAATGATGTAAAAACACAACTCACTTTGACAGTTTGTTTGTAAGTATCCCCAGTGTCTTGTTCTTGTATAGTCAGATCACCATAAACAACAGGAGCAGGGACAGCTTCGACAGCTTCCGCAATACGTGGTTCAGGTTTATTCTTACGTTTCTGTTTCCTCAATTCTAAAAATAGATTTATTTTTATTATATAAATAGACTTATAAATCAAATAGTATTTCAAGTGTATTCCAGTGGTTTGTATGGAGTTATTGCTGCCATAGAATTTTGTAAACATTGAAAGAAATGAAAATTACAAGACAAATTGCATTCATGTAAATATGGATTTTGAATATGCAGTTAAAACAAAACATGCTTTTAATTGTCAGACAAGTGATAACCTAATGAAAAGAATCAAAAATGTAAATTGAAAGGTACATCTTACAGGAAACCATATATAACTTTTTTACAATAGGGGGGAGGGGGGCTGGAAATATCTGTTTATAATTTGTGTACCATATGATTTACCGTATAAGTGGTTTTTTCTGCGGTGACTTTATTTCTGCATTTTCTGCGGTCAGTTTCAGCAAACAATATAATTGTTTGTAATAATTATATAGTTTTGCAGTGACGACGATAAACAAAATTTTAATGCGAATGTGTACATGCAAATAAAATAGGTAGAGTAATGTGATTAAGACTTTGATAAGATGAGCCACAGAATTTAAATCATGTTTTGTCAAAGAATGTGCCGCAGAAATAAAGTCCGCAGAAATAAAAACATGCCAGAATTTGGAAAAACTGCAGAATTTGGAGCCCACAGAAAAAACACTTATACAGTAGGTCTAAACCAATCATGTGCATGCAAATTTTCAAAATATGTTTTGAGAACAATCTTTTCATGATTTTAACTCAATCAGATTAAGAATCACATTAAAAACCAAGTTTCAATTTAATTTTGAGTATGAATCTTCATTGTCTTTTGCATGTTTTTCAGTTTTAACCCATTACTTAATAAGCATTTTGTGAAAAATGGCTGTTTTCATTGAATGTCTCCCGTTACAAGTTCAAATTGCTATAAAACTATAAAAACTGCTTCAATACTAATCAACCTTGGCACAAATGTTGACTGGACCATTGCCTTTGTAACAACATGATCAAGCTTAAATTCCTGTTAACATGACAAGGGGACATCTCAAATTTGCCAAAAATCACTATTTTGTGTAGATTTTTTCCATCAAAATTGATTTCAAAGTGCTGCCACTTCTCAATGGATTGGGATAGAGTCAAATGCTTTATGATCAATCTGGGGTCAATTTTAGCCTCTCACAAGTCCAAAATTTTCCTGGCAATAAGGGGGACTGCCACCCCCCTTCAAACCCCCCAAACAGAAGGGGGCACATCCCTCTTCTGGCAACCCCCTGATATATCTTTTGATAGGGACTGCGCCAAAAAAGTGGTCACTTTTTTTAACAACATTTCTCAAACGAAACATGTGTTTGGGGCCCAAAAAGGACATTTTTTCACTATTTGAGGCCTTAATTTCAAATTTTATGATTTTAGGTTTTATACCTTATTGGAGCTTGTTTATTTAAAATAAAGCTGTGAAAGTTCACTTGATATCCCTTACAAAAATATAGAAGACATTGCACCCAGCCAATAGCTGACTAAACAATACAGACCACTTACTAACATTCATGTATACCAATCTAATGACCAGTTTTTTTTCCTACAGAAAACCTGGTTAATAAATTAATATCATTCCAATATTTTTACCCAATTCCTCTTTATATTCTGCTTCCTGTCTCTCCCTCTCTTCTTTCTTGAGTTTCTCCCATTCTTTCATCAGTCTTTTCTTCTCTTGCCATTCCTTCACCATCGTTGGTAGAGCAACCAACGTTTTAAAGGTCCATATAGTTACTGTAATAGGCCACAGGTTACGGAGATTAGGTTTGGGGATAGATCGTAGAGTTTCCATCATATCCTCTTCTAATTGCTCATTCAGTACAACTGCTTTACATTTCTTTTTCTTTGTCTCTTTTTTCTTCTTTGATTCGAAAAAATCTTCCTAAAATTCCAAAATAAAATTTAAAAAAAGAGATGTCTTAATATGCATTTTAAACAGTATTCTTAATGAAATTGTTAAAGAAAATGTTTGATAAAAACAAATGCCCCCAGCCAAGATTGTCATCACTAGCAAATTTTCAAAAAAAGATTTACCCATTCACTTAGTTATGGAAAGACAAATTTGCCAAAAAAATTGTAGACACAGTTATATAACAATCCAAAGGAAGAAGATCCATTTAAGGTTTCCACCTACCAAATATGGAACATATCATTTAAATAAATAGATATATCACACTTGCCGGTTTAAGTTCACCATATTCATTTTTAAAGTGCTGAAAAGGGCAATAACTTGGAAAAATGGAAGCCATAGTTATGTAACTTGCAAAGATCATGTACTTTGTTTTTATAATTATGTGTGTAAATTATGAAGCAGGTACATGTACATTTAGAACGTAAGATAAATCCAACTTGCCGATAAGGACAGACAGACGGTTTACTAACTATATGCCCAGGAGCATAATAAAAAATCAAAGCACTGAATGTGCTCAATTTGTTTGGGAATTTTTTTGTAATCTTTTAAAAAAAAAGTTCTTTTATCTGAACCATTAATCCTGTTTATTTATTATCAACCATTTTTCTTTTTGGCAAAAAGCATCATAACAAAGTCTCTGAGCAAGTTACATCTTAACCTGAATAAAAATATTTTGCTGAATTTATTTCTAACTGTGTACAGTATGTACATAATATTAGAAAGAACTAAACCTTACACATTTATTCTAAAATTATGTGTATAACAAGCAAATGTTGAACATAAAGAAATGATGACCTTACCAAGGCTAATCTTCTCTCCAGGTAGACTGCCCACATAACAAAGTATTGACCTATAGTTACAATGAGACATAGTACCAAGGCCAACTCAAGGAGTCCAAGTTTACGAGCTTTTCTATAGTAATACACAGGCTGTCTCCAGTCAGGCAAACCAAAGTCAAGTACATGATTATACCTAAATGTAGAAAATATAATCTTATTATTCATTTTGTAAAACAAAGGCTATAGAAGAACATGTAAAAAAACCTGTAAGAAGCGTACTTCTATACCATTAAAAACGATTCTTGATTTTCAAGAGTGTATGTAATGTGTTTTATCTAAAATCATTGAAATGTACATAACATACAATAAACTTTTATTTGTAAATGCATGAAGCTTTGAGATGCTTTCAATCTATGGTACTTTTTTATTTATGTGATAAACACTTTTATAATCTTAAATACTAACTCATTAGCATCTTATTACTGAATCTGTGTATTGGACTTGTACAAGTTTGAATCTGGAATGACCTAGATATTAACATGGTGAAATTGAGCATTCAACCTGTCTAGAAACTGGTCAGATTTCAGAGCTTTTTGTATGTAACCCTGTGTTCTGATCTAAGTACAGCTCTATGTACAGATTTACATGTATATAAAGTGCTATATACTGGTAGCAAAGGCTTATCACTACTGACATAGTACACATATGATCCCTGCTACCTTTCTTAGACTTTACATACACAGAAACTATATACTTTTCCTAGTTTAGTATCAAAAATACAAAAATCAAACCAGTTGCGAAGGTATATCATTTTATGTTCCAACTTCCAATATCATAAGGGTTTATAATATATAAATAATGATAATATAGAAAAATGACTTCATACTTTTCTCTCTTTTTCTTCATCTTTCAATGTTTCATACACAGCCACAAGCTGAAATGAACAATTCATAAACCAGGTATAGAAAGCTATTTTTACCTACAAAAAATAAATATATTTCTAAAGTTGTCTTGATATTATAAGACTTAACTCAAACAAAAATTCTGATAAAAATAGCAAAACAAAATCAATAAATAACTCATTTGTATTCCTCGAAAGGATTATACTATTATATAAAAAAAAAATCAAACTTTATGTTCATTCATTTATTTTTCTTTTTAAAGAAATTTAAAGATCTTTATGTCTATTTTTACAGTGAGTCCCAATTTTTTTTCATTTCAAAAATAGTCATTAATTGTGGAAAAAGAATGTATTTTGACCTTATAAATGGCACTAAATTCTGCCTTGAAAAAAATAATATGACTCACTGTATTTTCTATTGCATAAACAATGTATATAAAAAATCTCAAATAATTTTCAGACGTTCCTGTCGAATGTAACCTTAAATCAATTAAAACTTAGAGGCCCATTCCAGCAAGAAATTCATTTTTGATATTTACAGTTTCCAAAAAGTTACTCATTAACTTTATATATTTACTTATTTTAAATTTAATGTAACTATTTTGTACACACTGAATGTTTTTGTATTGTACATTTATGTGTCAAGGACCAGTGGCTTATATCACCAATAAATGAGTTGAGTTGAGTTAACTATATAGATGAACTATCTTATCTTTCTTTTGCACTTTGGCAATAATTATAATTATAGGGATTAAGTATTTTGTCTGGAAGTAAAAATACTACCAGTACTTTGTATACATTTTGCTACCTATATGGTAACAGGTATACATGTATTAACGAATGTTCAGCGCTACTTTATCGAATATGTTTGCAACACTATTAAACATGTGTTTGACCTACATGATAAAACATTACTTCTGAGACATAGTGTGCCCTTAAAACAATTGCATGTTATTGACACAATGTACCTTTCTAAACTGTTCTTCTGCATCTACAGCTTCATTCTTGTCAGGATGTAAAATCAATGTCTTCTTTCTGTAAGCCTTCTTGATTTCACTGTTTGATGCACTCTGTAACGATTATAGAAACTAGAAACATGTCTGAAGGACACAAATGCAACAACACACAAAAGTCCACTGCTATGTCAGCGGGACAGCAGGCATAATAAAAATGATTTTGTTTGTTTGTTATACAAATCAGCACTCAATTTCTGTTGTTATACTTTTCTGTACCTTGTCAACATAAGAAACAATTTGATTTTGGCCTATTTTTTCCTTTATCTTTATCCTTAATTACCAGCATGAATGATGACTATATGATTAACTCCTTTGAATAGCAATTCACAAATTTGATTGACTTTTTAAAAATGATATTTGAATATAACAGGCAGAAAACTTATTTTAAATGAATTAAATGGGCTGTCCAACAGCATAATAAAACAAGAGTGCTATGATGGCCCTGAAATCGCTTCTGAATATAAATACAAATGTAACTCTCCATGACAAGGAACAAGTAATATTGCTAACTATAAACAAAAGGCTTTTAAAGCAGAAATAAAATCTAAATCTTAAACTGATATCATAAAGTTCATATTTGTACCTGAAATAGTGCATGTATGAAAACATTAGTGGTTGCTAACAACATTTCCAAAAGATGCATACATTTAAGGAAAATTAATGACCCCCTGGGGGCCAACTTTGATCCCAGGGCTTAACTTTGAACAAAACTTGGTAGACACTCACTAGAAGATGTTTCAGATAGTTTCATGCTAAATATCTAAGCCCTAGCTCTAAGAAGATTTTTTAAGTTTTTACGATATACATTTAATGAAAATCAATGATCCCCCAGGGCGGGCCAATTTTGACCCCTGGGCTTTTATTTGAACAAACTGGGTAGACACCTGCTAGAAGATGTTTCATGCTATTTGAATTTTGTATATCGGCTATTTAACACCGGTTTGGAGTTTTGATGCATAGAAATTGACCACGAAGGCCGTAGGCCAGAGTGATTAATTTTTTCGCATCAAAACCGGTGTTAAATAGCCGATATACACCTCTCAGGCCAATGTTATTTCGATTCTATCCCGATAAAATAAGGAAGATCACTAATGTTATTTTTTCAAGCGGAAATAACTTCCGTTGACGATTTTTGTATAATGCTGTTCGATTTTTGCACCCTACTGTTGCAAACATATAGAAATTATGAAACAAAATAAATAATAAAAAAAAAACGTTATTCTATCACGTTTTCAACAATAAAAACTTACGTCGTATTGTGTTTACATCAGGGCCCCTTTTATCATTCTTGTATGCATGTATGAAATAACGTCAGCTTGTTTATGAATGATTTGTTTACTTAGGATGACATCATTACGCTGCTTGCTTAAGGATTGGCGCCGTTTTGTCAAAATATTTTTTAACTGATATGAGATATTATTTCAGTATATATGAAAAGAAAATATTATAAGAACTGAAAATATAAATAAAAATGCTTTTTATTGTTGCCTTAAAAGGCTTTGTAAACTATATAATCGTGGGTGAAAACATAAAAGCAGCATATACAAGTAGTCCCTAACCAGTGTTTATTGGCAGTTTAACACCGTTTTTTTTTCCTTCTTTGTCTATAGTGACAAATCATGCGGAGTGATAGAATAAAATATAAATACACTGTTTCATACATAAATGAGATTTTTCTTCTATTTAACAAGTGAACTTTTTCAAAAACAGTGTGTCAAATTCTTTTTTTTCTCAAAAGATCCAATTAAAATGTCACTTTTTAAACAATTTCCAATGTCTGCCATTTTGGGTAATTTCAGAGGTTACTATGATATCATGGTAATCCCTAAAATGCAAGTATGGCAGGATAGATGGGTCAAAATCTTCAAATAAAGTTGTGAAAACTTCCAACAGTTAACCTTTTTACTTTGGAAGTGGCTAGCTGTACAGGCCCGTACGGCTAGTCAAAAGTTCTAGCCGTATGTGAGTCACGTACGACTAGCCAGGACACACTGTATTGGCTAGCCGTACGGCACTTTTCAATATTATATGGAAGTCGGAAATGCATATGTTATTTTGTGTCTTTAAACAAGGATTTTAATCATGTTTCTGCATTTGTCCTAGTGTGTTCACTTTAATAAAGATGATCCGCCATTTTGTAAAAAAATGAATACGAACAAGCGTTGTATAATCTATCTTGATAAAAGTGTCAAAGTTGCATGTTATAAGTTATAACGTCCTTGATTTTCATGCTTATGATTTGTTGTTTTATTTGTATGAAAGATGTATTGTTAAATCATTATTATTAATTAAGCACATAGATCAAATAAATAATGATCAGAGCGGAATAAATAAATAGATTAAAAGAATATTGAAAAAAAATGGTAAAAGAAAAATGGTGAAAAGCAAAAATAATTTTATAAATTTCAAATACAGTAGATAAATATCGAACAAAAAGCACAATCAATAAATTAGCCTTTATTAAAGCCTACCCAGGGACTGACAATAGAATTTTAGAATGCGTTTCATGGAAGGAAGTGGCTAGCCGTACGGGCCCGTACGGCTAGACAAAAGTTCTAGCCGTACGTGAGTCACGTACGACTAGCCAGGACTCACTGTATTGTCTAGCCGTACGGCACTTTTCAAAATTATATGGAAGTCGAACATGCATATGTTATTTTATGCCTCATGATTATGGTTTGTTGAACTTTTGTTAATTAAGCACAATCATGGATCGAATAAATAATGATCGGAGTGGCTAAAAAGAACATTGAAAAAAAAAAACGAAAAAAAAACAAAAAACGGTGAAATGCAAAATAAATTCTAATTGTATAATTTTCAAATACAGTAGATAACTATCGAACATAACAGCACAATCAATTAATTAGCCTGAATTAAAGCTTACCCAGGGACTGACAATAGAATTTTAAAATGCGTTTGACGAAACATGCAAACTTTCCTTATGTTAACAAACTTCTATACCGTCGGTAATTGACGCAATTTCAGAGCCCAGCAACAATAATTTTCTTTTTTTGTTTGTTTCATTTTAAAGGTGTCGAAAATTAAAATCAAGATGAAACAAAAAAGGATTATCAAAATTTGTAAACTATTTCAATTGATGTTATTTAACTGCGACCAAATGCGTATTTTTTCTCAACGTCTTGAGATGACAAAGATCGATATTCATCCTTTTTTACTGTAGCCAACAAGTTGATTAATCTCTACAAAGTAAACCACGGATTTACATGTAATATAAATCCGTGAGTAAACATACGAAGACAATTTTGCTGTTTCTTGGTTCATAAAATAACATATGCATTTTCGACTTCCATATAATTTTGAAAATGCCGTACGGCTAGCCAATACAGTGTGTCCTGGCTAGTCGTACGTGACTCACGTACGGCTAGAACTTTTGGCTAGCCGTACAGGCCCGTACGGCTAGCCACTTCCTTCATAGAACATGCAAATTTTCCTTAATGATGGACAAACTTCTACAACGTCGGTAATTACGGCTAGCTTTATATTGAGACTTGATGGTAAAAGGTATTTTATTTAGATATGTAAAAATTGTTTGAAAACCAGTTTTATCGTTGTAGCAGTTATCCCATTCGTGATTAAATATTAAAATATTTCTAATACAGTGTTTACAGGGGCGTATCACTTTGGGGGAGGGGAGGGGGTGCAGGACCCAACATGTTCCAAACAGCACAATGAATTGTACACTTTTATGAAAAGATGCAGCAGTAAATACCAGTAAAATAAACCTTAAACTAAGTATTTTAAGTCTTATAAATACATTGAAAGACTGAGTACCCTACTAAAATTAGTAGTTAAAAATTTATATCCGATTTCTATAACACTACCTAACAAACTCGGACGCTTACCCTTGTTACACCTAAGACATCATAAAAGTTTTCGTTCACTTCTTCGACTAAATCATAAAGTTCTAGGTTGTCTGTATCCCAACAGAAAACTAAATTCAATAATGAAACAGCCAAAAATAAAATAAAAAGTAAATTTCGGTGGCAACCGGAAGTTGACATTTTTTGTAGATCAGACTCTCGTATTGATTTTCCCTTCTAAGACTTGAATTCAAAAGGCAGTACAGTACCCATATTACCCTTTTCCCTCATATAGACGTGTTTGACAGCTTTTTGTCCCTCCCCGCCCCTCCCACCCTATTTTGTTGCATCAAGCAGAAAAACAAAAAAGTGAAATCCCCCTTTTTATTTATTTTTATTAAAGTTAAAGTCTATTTTAGTTCAATTCAATTCAATATTTTAGGGCTATTTTAGTATAATTATGACAAGTATCAAAATAATTTTGGTATAAAAAGGTAGTGAAACGTCTTCAAGACGTTTCACTCCCATTTGGGAGTGAAACGTCTTGGTGTGAACCGTCTTGGTGTGAACCGTCTCAATAGTGAAATGTCCGTCTAGCCTTTTTCGGCGCCGCCCCCATCAAAATGTTACATCAGGGGGTTGCCAGAAGGGGGATGTACCCCGTTCTGTTTGGGGGGTTTGAAGGGGAGTGGTAGTCCCCCTCATCGCCAAATGGCCTAAGGTCGATCATATGGGAACTAGTAACCGAAGCTGAAAAGCCTTTTACTCTATCTCAATTCATTGAGGAGTTGCAGCACTTTGAAATCAGTTTTGATGGAAAAAAAAACAATGCAAAATAAATTTTTGGCAATTTTTAGACGTCCCCCCGTTGCCATAGTAACAGGAAAGTTACAAAGTTACAAATGAGCATGCTGTTACAGAGGCTGTGGTCTAGTCAAAAAATATATAAATACAGAATCCCTAATTAAGAAAGCCCAACACGACAAAATTGAAACATTTGTGCCAAGTTTCATCAGTATTAAAGCATTTTTCATAGTTTCATAGCAGTTTGAACTTGTTACAGGAGGCTTTTCAATGAAAACGGCCATTTTTCGCAATATGCTCATGGGGTAAAAGGTTAATAAACAAGGTACTATAGTGACTTAATTAGATCTATTGTATCTTTCGCCGGTCTCCTCTCAATATGTCCTGTTTATACTCTCTAGGTATATTTTACCGGCAAATACTTGACACCGGCAAAGCGTATCACACGCTAACTTACCCGTCTGTTCTTGTGTTGAAGTAGATATCTTTATTGATTTCGTTACAAATAAATAAGGTTATTTTACCAAATACATGTATGTTGATCACTTTGTTTAAATTTGTTTGAAATAATAAGCCAAAACAGATCGTCTTCAAATATAATTTATAATAAAAATGCACACTCAACATTTTTTTTCAAAATAACAATGGAAAATGTTTCGTTTTCTATAAAGGACGGATAAAATATTATACAAACGTTGATTAAAAGATATGGTCTTAATATTACATAACATCTTTGACGCATTTTATTTTCTTTATTTCTTTTGCTGCTACACTATGTAAAGAGATACTGAACATTAGAATATGTTACAAATTAAAATTTCTGTTTTATTATTACAATATAATATGCCAAGTGAGATAATCACTGTGAGGAGTTTGATTTAAATTATGAGAATTGGTCCCTAATATTACATTTAAGCCAAATGAGTCGATTTTTATACCAGAATGAAAGGCTTAATATATGGGGGTGGCCAACCAATTTGTTTGCAAAATAACTTCTAATCGTTACCCACCCCCTTTCCTTAAAAACATTCTGATCATACACTTTTAAATGCAAATACCGAAGTCACAAATTATGCTAGAGACTCATAAAATATTTCATTTTCTTAAGAAAACAATATGGTCAATCCTGTTTTCATCCAACCACTTCATCTCCCGTTGAATCTTACGGTTTTCCCTGCTTTTTTCAGCCAATCGCTGATCATGTTACAATACAAAATTCTGGAAACAAAGTGATCCCTCGGAAGCATTAATCACAACAAAATAACATAAGAATTGCAGACTCGGTTTGATTGAGTCTGTACATGGGGGATAATGGACAAGTGCAACATCCCTCACGCCCCCTAGCACCGGCTAAAGTCAGACCTAACCTTTGCGCACTTGTTCACCATCATGTTCTCAACCTTTAAAGAGGAGAAGGCAATTGTCCCAAGCATTTTGATTTCTTTTTGCAAAATAATGCACTTTTTCGACATAGAATTTACTTAAATTGTGCATGTTACCACAAATTTTTTCCAATTCCAGTAAAATTTGGCTTAGAGGATTTGCACACTTGTTTACCATCATGCACCAATCGGCACACATGAGGAGGTGACTGTATCAAGTGATTTAAATAATTATGCCCATTTGTTTACTTAGAATTTAACTGTAGACTGTAAATACAACTTCAAATATCTTTAAATTCCATTGACATTAAGGTTTGAGATTTTGCACACTTGTTCGCTGTCACACCCCCAACTTTGCTGGCTGCTGATGTTTTTGACCTTGGTATGCTTTGACCTTGCATCTAGGTATTTTGGTCTTGTGCATATTTCACTGTCTCATCGTGCTACACATTTGTGACAAGTTATTTCATAAGCCATTAATGCAGGACTAAGTAATTGACCTGACATGATTTTCTAATACTTCAACTTCTTAGTGTAACCTTGGCCTTTTAACTAGGGTCTTGTTCAAGAGCATGGCACACAATCTCATCATGCTTCCAATTTGTGCCAAGTTTTCTCAAAATCCTTTGATGCATGACAAAGTAATGGGCTGGACAAGATTTTCTTACTGCTGACCTTTGACCTCTATGTGTGACCTTGACCTTGGAACTTGTTGATTTGGTCTTGAGCATGACACACTGTCTGATCATACTGTACATTTTTCCAAGTTATTCTAAAATCTCTTGATGCATGACACAGTTATTGGCCAGACAAGGTTTTCGTACTAATGAACACAATCATGCATGGACAGACAGAAAGGGACAATTCTACATCGCCCTTACCATTATCATGATAATAATATACATGTCAGCAAATAGGCAAACTCATCAAAATCTTTATACTTAAAACTTTACACCTTTAATGATAATTAAATTATATAGGAGTTAAAGAAATTAATTGTAAAATGCATATTATACAATGCTTGATATGGATGATATTTTACAGGTTTTTTTTTTAGAACAACATATTATATATGATGCTTTGCGACACAAAATTCTGGAAAGGTCAGAAAAAGGAAAGGCTACAAATGCCACTCAATTGGACATTAAGTAAAAAAAATCAACTTTGTATCAGTTTCATTTGTAGATGTGAAACAGAATTGATTTTATTAACCTAGAAAACAAACACATTTTTGTTATAGATGTATCTTAGGGTAAGTAATGTGTTTGTGATCATTTGTTGTTTGTTGCTGGTATATTTTCACAACTGTTCCGGGTTTCATGATGGCCCTAAATCGCTCACCTGAGGCAGAGTACTTGTTATTTTGGGTTTTTAAAGAAGATTTTTAGAATGAATCCAATCCATAAATATATAACAAAGTATTGATAATTTTAGCAAATATTTAAGAAGTTGACCTTGACAGTCAATGTCAATTCCGGTCAAGGTCAAACCAGAAAAATTCAACGTGTCCATTTTGACATGTATTTTCTGTCCAAGCATGAATCAAATAGGTAAATAAATATCATAAAGTTATAAAAATTTAAGCATACTTCAGTAATCTTACATTGACTGTCAAGGTCAAATTAAGGTCAAAGTCTTATGTGAATAGTTCAACATGTCAATTTTGTGGTATGTGTTCTTTTGTATAAGAATGAATAAAATCTGTAAATACATGTAAATATGAAATAATGACATTGTAAAGTAATTTAAAAAAATGTCAATATCAAATAAGGTTGTATGATAATAAGACAACAAGTCTGTTATATCATATAAGTGCTCTTTTGCCCAAAATGAACCCAATCCATAAACGAATATCAAATAATGACAATTTAAGCAAATTTCAATAATTCGACCTAAACTGCCAAGGTCAAATAAAGGTCAATGTCATATTTGAATAATGCAACAAGTCAAATTTGTCATGATACTTTTGTCTAAGTATGAATCAAACCTGTAAATAACAAAGTTATAACATTTTTTTTTTTTTATCTAAGCTAATTTACTTTAATAATTTACCTTAACAGTCAGGGCCAAATAAAGGCCAAGATCATATAAGAATAATTCAATATATCTGTTTTGTCACAGGTTTGCTTTTGTCAGTATGAATCAAGTATGTAAATAAACAACAAAGTTATAACAAAACATTCCATTACATGTATAGTCAAGTCAATGAATGGTCAAGGTCTTATCAGAATATTTCAACATGTCCATTTTGTCAAGTGTTTTCTTTTGTCCAAATATGAATCAAATCTATAAAAGTAACTTGACATTGATAGCCAAGGTCAAATAAAGGTCAAGTTCATATCACTATAATTCAACATGTCCATTTTGTCGTACAAGTTCTTTTGTCTAATATTGAATCAAATCTGTAAATGAATAACAAAGTTATGACAATTTTAATTAATCTCTGTATCAAAATCCACTTCATGACCTTAGGTGTCAAGGTTAAATAAATGTCAATATATTCATAACTTACAAAGATGAGTGATGGTAAGAATAAATTTGGCCCACTTAAAGGACTTTTGTATAGGATTATTGTGTCCAGGTATCTATGAAGACAATCCGTTCATAGAACATTCAGCAAAAATCAAGCAAAATTCAAACAGTTGACTTTAAAGGTCACTTTAGAGTCAAGGTCAAGTTCAACCAGGTATCTTTGAAGGCCTTGTCCAGAGGCTTGTTGAGTCCAAGTATGAAGACAATCCATAAAAGTAATCGCATATATTAAGGTTTTCAGACGGCTTAATTAAGCAAACTGATTAAAGAAAATGATCATTAACCTTTACCATTAGTTTTCCAAGTTATACAATCAAACCATGTAATCAGGACATACTAGTAATATTATAAAATATCTAAAAGCATTGAGCATGTCATGATAACTTTTTTTATAATTATTAGAGTTGTTCAAAAAGTTGTATTTCTCTAATTATTCAGAACTTATATCTGTTTTTCTTTATGTTCCATCAACACGTATATTA